TAATTATGTAGATTTAAAGCAAAGTGTAAACCGACATGTACTGCTGCATTTAATACATTGTACATCAGTATAGCCATTATTTAATAACCATCCATCCATCCATCCTCAACCGCTTACTCCTTTCAGGGTCGCGGGGAACCTGGAGCCTATCCCAGGGAGCATCGGGCACAAGGCGGGGTACACCCTGGACAGGGTACCAGTCCATCGCAGGGCACAATCACATACACACTCACACACAACCATTCAAACCCACCGAATTATAATTGTTAACAGTCAAAAATATTTGCCAAAATTTGACTTGCTACTTCCTGTGTGTGTTATATTGATCTGTTCTGCATAGTTACAGTATGTTTATTACATTTCTTCTTGCTAAGCTCTTGTATTGGACTGTGATAAATGTTGCTGATCACATGGGGCACAGATTGAAGTGAATTGTTTTAAATGTGAATTTTGGTATTGTAGCCATGAACAAAAAGACCAAAAAAAGCACCTGCACCAAATCCAAAGTTCAGTAAATTTTTATGTACATTGGATTATAGACAGTCAAACTCAAACATTCCAATATAATACACATATTATACTGTGTACATGTCCTGAGCTGATTTTATTTAATCACTTTTCAAACACTGATCCAACATTTTTACTCAGCTGGTCCTTATTATTTAAGAATCTATTATACAATACAGAACTGAGACACATTTGTGGCCCTGATTTACTAAGATCCCAAATAATAAGCATTCATTTGTCACGTCTACGCCGGAATTGGCATCAAACTACAAATCCCAGAATACAGCACGGCCTACAAACATGGCTGCCGAGGGCTGCGTCCAAAATCGAGTACTCTGACGGTACCTGCTGCATTCGATTCAGTACCTACAGCTCGGCTGTTGATACAGTATGTACTGTTCAGTATATGTGTGTTGTATGAATATGATCCGGACATACTACCTCCGCCATGTCGGCGTTGTCATGTGACGTACAATGTCAAAAGAGCCGGCACGCTGCCTCCCACCATTTTTTGATTCTGACAGCTCTTCCACGCCCGTCCCTTTGCCTTGTGGGATAGCTCAGTGCCCATTTGTTCCCTACTGAAGAATTTCAGCAGAAACAGTAGGTCATCCTGGTATTTCTCGCCTACTGTTTTATGAATACTGAGAATTCGGACATACTACTCCTTCGACATATTGCTTTACTCCTACTGTATATTAGGGTAGTGGGAATATTCGGATGCAGCCTCTCTAACATTCACATTCACCTGATTACTGATCACACACATCTGCATTAAGTCCAGGTGTGTTTATACAGCTGGATATCAGCACAGTATAAAAGGACTCTCACTCCATACACTCACTGTGAAGTATACGCTCTCTGTGCCATTTGTACCAGTCGATACCAAGCCTTTGATTCACTGATTGTCTTTCTGGGTTCTGATATAGTTTCTGGGATTTCTTGTTTGCTCTAGTTCATGATTTGTTCATCGCCTGATCCTTGCCTGAATCTTGACTCTGCCTGTGGTTTATGTCTTTGTTTTCTTTACTACTTCTTAAATAAACATTGAACACCTGCACTTGCATCTGTACCTGCATTGCGACATAATTTTGCGCGTGCAAACATATGCACGTGCAAAAACGTACCGCGTTATAGGTGATTTACACAAATTAGGTTTTAGTGTGCACTGTTTGTTCTCGACGCTGTGGTGAGTTCTGAGATTTGAAGTGTTTAAGCTGAAAATAAACTTACCCTTACGTGTTCGGTATTATGCTGTTAAAAACTGCTCAAAATACAATATTAAAGCAAAATAAAAAGTGGTGTTATCATATGTTAAATCTAATATGGCACCAACTTTGTCATCATTTTATTAAACTTTCTGACCAGCTTTTTTTTTTGCACATTTTTTTTGTGTGTTATCAAGTTTGCATGTTTTTTCACCTTGTAAATCAGGACCTCAGTGCTTTTCAGTATGAGAAATTCATGTATAAAAATAAATTCTACCTGATTGTCTTCTTTGCTTTATTATTCAAAACTGCTGTGATGCCATATACACCGATCAGCCGTAAGGTTAAAAACCAACTGCTTAATATTGTGTAGTTCTGCCTTGTGCAACCAAAACAGCTCTGACCCATCGAGACATGGACTCCACAAGACCTCTGACGGTGTGCTGTGGTATTTGGTACCACAATGTTAGCAGCAGATCCTGTTAAACCCAGTAAGTTGCGAGGTGGGGTCTCCGTGGTTTGATTTTGTTAGTCCAGCACATCCCACAAATGCCGACTTAACACCCTGAACTCTTTGTCATGTTCCACAAACCATTCCTGAACAATTTCTGCAGTGTGGCAGGGTGCAGTATCCTGCTGAAAGACGCCACTGCCATTAGGGAATACTGTTGCCATGAAGGGGTGTACTTACCCTGTACTTTCCCATCAGAATATTGCCCAGAGCATCACACTTCCTCTGCCGCCTTGCCTTCTTCTAACAGTGCATCCTGGTGTCATCTCTTCCCCAGGTAAGTGACGTCCACATGTTGTAAAAGAAAAAGTAATTCATCAGACCACGCTGCCTTCTTCCACTGCTCCATGGTCCAGTTCTGATGCTCAGCTATGGGCACTCTGCGGCTACGTAGCCCCATTCTCAGCATGCTGTGATGCATTGTGTTCTGACACCTTTCTATCATAGCCAGCATTAACCTTTTCAGCAATTTGTGCTTGGACCAGACGGGCTAGCCTTCGGAACCCCACGCACATCAGTGAACCATGGGTGTCCATGACCCTGTCGCCGGTTCAACGGTTTCCTCCTTTGGACCACTTTTGGTATGTACTAACCGCTGCATACCAGGAACACCCCACAAGACCTGCTGTTTTGGAGATGCTCTGACCCAGACGTCTAACCATCACAATTTGGCCCTCTCAGAGTCACTCAGATCTTTATGCTTGCCCATTTTTCCTGCTTCCAACACATCAACTTCGAGAATTAACTGTTCATTGCTGCAAAATATATCCCACCCCTTGCCAGGTGCCACTGTAATGAGATCAATGTTATTCACGTCACCTGTCAGTGGTTTTAATGTTATGGCTGATCAGTATACAGTTACTGGACATTTTATTATGAATACCTCAATATTTATTATGAATACCTCAACTATCTGCTAATTCATGCAATTATCCAAGCAGGTCAAGTGCTTCAATTAATGTTCACATCAAACGTAAGATTAGGGGAAAAGGGGATCTCAGTGACTTTGACCATGGTTTGAGTATTTCAGAAACTGTTGATCTCCTGAGATTTTCATACACACACACACAACAGTCTCTAGGATTTACCAAGAAAACAAAGCAAAAAAAAACATCCAGTGAGTGACATTTATGCAGGTGGAAATGCCGTGATGAGGAAAATTGAAAATGGCCAGACTAATTGGAGCAGACAGGAAGTCTACAGTAATTCAAATAAACAATCTTTACAGATTGGTGAGCAGAAAAACATCTCAGAAATCGCAACATGCCAAACCTTGGGGTGGATGTCCTTCAACAGCAGAAGACCACATTGAGTGATCTGATCACCTAATCTTTTTCCAATTTTCGAATGCTCAGTTTCAGTCAGCCTATGCCCAAAACAATTTGAAAATCATCAGTCAATTGTACTTTTATGATGATCATGACAAATGTCAGACATTTTGTGAACTAAGTAGAGCTCTGTTCTCAGTAATTAAGAATTCCCTCACATATATTAAAATACATGAGAGGCCAGTCTGGAGTGTAGTTCTGAAATAGATTATTCAATGAGGAAGTTATAGCCAGCTTTGAATTTTCACACACATGGCCATCTGTTACATTTTCACACCAAAAAGCAAAAAGCACAAAAAGCACAAAAAGCCATTTCTTAAAAGAGTGAAGCTGACAAGTGTCCCAAAATCCATACCCTACCCACCATTCAGTGTGAAGACCATTTTGAGAAAAATAGGCATGTTTACACTCATATTGGAGGATAAGCAGACGTAGCGCTTGTGAAACAGCCTGAGACTGATTTTATTCTTCCGTTAAAGTCATTCTTAAACTATCCAATGTTTACTTGCTGGTCCTATACCACTTCGGCTACTTCCACATTAATACGGACAGATCTGAAAACTGCATTTTCATTCTTCTACACTGCTGTTTTTAAACGTTTTCCAAAAATTGTTCATCCACACTGAAATGTCTGAAAACGCTTACACCCCTATACTGTTTATAGGTAAAATCGTAAGAATATTTGGCCTGTGATGTTTCCGTCAGGAATTTTTATTTAAAAATGCAATATGAAGCTTGTACAAAATGACATCAATCAATGCTAGTAAACTGGATAGCCACCATCTTGTTTGTTTTGAGATGACGACATCACATGAGTAAAAATATCAAATCATTGTTTTTGAATGTCTCCGTTTTCTTGGTCCACACTACAACGCGAAAACTGCGTTTTCAAATGTAACCACTTAGGAGGGTATTTTCGAAAAGCTCCCATTTTCGCTGGACAAAAAAACAAAAAACAAACACCGTCTCAGTGTGGATGAAAGGCCAAAATGTAGAGAAAATTATGCATTTTCAAATTTATCCGGATTGATGTAGCCTTAATTAGCTATTCCGTTCATCACATGATCTGCAATCAATGGATTGGCATCACCTAAATTATAATACCTCTTACAATACGTAGTGGGCTAACTAATTAAAAAGGTAACATTTTCTAGCTACAGATCAATTATGAATACTTAGATAGAAGGGTGGCAGGAAATATAAAAAAAAAATTAAACAAATTTGATAATTAAATGAATTTGAAAATGATAAAAAAAATATTTGAATTAGTCCTGCGATGTACTGGCACCCTGTCCAGGGTGTACCCCGCCTTGTGCCCGATGTTCCCTGGGATAGGCTCCAGGTTCCCCGCGACCCTGAATTCCCATTAGCAGTCCCCATCAATTAAATTTCTAACAATTTCCAAGCTATGTTTCAGACTTATAACAGTCTGACAATAACAGTCTTTCGAGGGCATAGTGGTTAGCGCGTTTGGCTCGCACCTCCAGGGCTGGGGGTTCGATTCCCACCTCTATCCTGCGTGCATAGAGCTTGTGTGTTCTCCCTGTGCTTCGGGGAGTTTCCTCCCCCGGACCAAAGACATGTGTTGGCATCTCATAAGTGTGTGTGTGTGTGTGTGTGTGTGATTGTGCCCTGTGATGGGTTGGCCAACATCCACTTGTGCCAGTGGGATAGGCTGTGTGCAGTATGGAAAATGGATGGATGAAGAACAGTCTTTATGCTAGGTGCCCTCTGAATCTGAATGCAGTTAAATGGCATTGTGCAAGTTTGCTGTTTGGAGCAGCAGGAAGCCAGGCTATGTTTACCAATTCATTCATCATCTACTGATGCATCTCAAAATATCAATACATCATGGAAAAGTTTGTTTTTTCCTGTAATTTAATTCAAAAAGTAGAATTTTCATATATTCTAGACTCATTACACATAAATTGAAATATTTCATATTTTTGTTTTAATCTCGATGATTATGGTTTACAGCTCAAGGAAATGAAATCAAAAATCCAGCATCTCAAAATATTATGAATAAAGAATTTATAATACAGAAATGTCGACCTGAGAAGAACTCTAATCAGATAATTAACTCAAAACACCTGCTAAGGTTTCCTGAGCCTTTAATCTCTCCGTCTGGTTCAGTACACAAACACAATCATGGGGAAGATGAAAGTTCTTTTTTGAAATTCCGTTGGAAATCAAGGTCCCAGAGTCTGGAGGAAGAGTGGAGAGGCTTGAAGTTGCATGAAGTCCAGTGTGTGAAGTGATGATTTGGAGTGCCATTACATCTGCTGGTGTTGGTCCTCTATGTTTTCTCAAGTCAAGAATCAATGCAGCGTCTATCAGGAGCTTTTAGAGAACTTCATGCTGACAAGCTTTATGGAGATGCTGATTTCCTTTTCCAGCAGGACTTGGCACCTGCCCACAGTTCCAAAACTACTAGTAACTGGTTTGCTGACAGTGCTATTACTGTGCTTGATTGGCCAACAAACTCTCCTGACCCGAACCCCATAGAGAATCTATGAGAGACACCACAGTCTCTATTCCACGCCTCATTGATGCAGTAATTTGTGCAAAATAAGACGTGACCGAGTATCGAGTGCATAAATAAACATAGTTTTCAGAGGGTTGACATTTCTGTATTATAAATTCTATATTCTAATATTTTGAGATACTGGATTTTTGATCTACATGAGCTTTAAGCCGTAATCATCAACATTAAAAAAAAAAATACAAAAGGCTTGAAATTTCACTTTATGTGTAATGAATCTAGAATATATGAAAGTTCCACTTTTTGAATTAAATTCCAGGAAAAAACTTTTCCAGGATCACCTTAACAGGGGTCTAAGTAACAAATATTCTTTAATAAGTCTGTGAAAAAAAAACATTAATTAAATGATATCTATAATCTCATTGTCATTTTTGTTACTCCAGGGTTATTTTCTCATTCAAGCAAGCCTTTTGATCTGCTTTGTTTATCATTTGGGGTGGAGTCATTTTTTTGCACAGTATATTTTAAAACTGAGGCTGTTATTACTAGATTTACATTATTAATAGCAATTATGTAATCCGAATGAACCCTAGTTAGCCTATAAAAATGCTACTGCAATCTAATAACAATTATATTGATTTTATATCCTATAAAGATAAAAAGAGCTCAAGACTTGATTTACTTTAATGATTTAATAAAAGAAATTCATAATGCTAAATTAACAATCAAAATAGTCAACAGGTTTCTTTCTCTCTCTCTCTTTTTTCCACCCACAGATTCTGGAAAAAACGGCGTGTGTAACAAGAAGAGTGGAAAGGATCACCATGGCAACACTGTAGCGTCCATGCACGAACACTGTCTCTCTCTTTCACACATACAAACACACACTCCTTCCGATGTCCTGAACTGAATTCAACACCCGGTATTCACAGATTAAACCCGGTGAAGGAAAGGTCACATTGCCTGGCAACACGTGCGCGCGGCGGTGTGTGTGTGTACGTGTGTGTACGTGTGTGTGTGTGTGTGTAATTGCCCAATCAAGCCTCACCCACTTCCATTTTACTCCCCCCTCAATAAACAGCATAGAATGGCACTTGGTTTTCCAGCTGATTGATCCAAATGACAAAATAAACAAACCCATATGGTCAGACCCACCCCCACACACCCCAACACACACACACACACACACACACACACACACACACACACACACATTAGCACTGTGGTGGAAACAAATCGTTACTGAGAACTGAACTTCAGCTGCCTCAGTGGTAGCTGTGTCAAATGTAAAAGCACATACAGGACAAGCAAACAATACAAATGCAGGTCCTTATACTGTAGGTCACTTTGATTTGCTGTCAAATAAGACCTCAAAAAAATGATTTGTTCTTGCTTAGTTTGTGCAATTACTAAGTGCTGGCGCAGGTGTCACAGGTTCACTGCGCTATTCATAGAGCCCTAAGAATTTTGAACGGGTTTGCTGCTGAGGAATATTTTCGTACAGTAATGCACGCTCAGCACAGTATCACTGTCCAAGACCACCACAGTCCAAGACCACCACAGTCCGTAAACTAACACACACACGCTCAACTTTTTAGTTTGGAGTAATAACAAGCAACATTTTTCCCTTTTACATTTCTGTTTACTTACAAAGCTGAACTTGAAACATGACTCCTATTAATAACCAGCTATAACATAGCTCTCAACCCCATTCGGTTTAAGACGGCCATATGTTCCGCACTAAAAGTTGTGTCTTTTCGTTCAGTTAGGTGAATTACCAATAATGTAAATTCGAGCCTTTTTTAATTATTTTTTTATTTTATTTAGAATTTTAGCATTCGCCCAATTGTATTTAGCAGATTTATTAGTGTGTAGTCAGCCAGGTGTGTTACTTCAGCAGTTACAGAAAGGTTAGAGAAAGGAACACTACGTAAGCATGGCACTTAAACGACGATTGAATAATTGTGTTTCCTGTGTTGATGAGAAGACTTGTGGTATTCATGATTTCAGAAGATTAATGCTTCCATCAGAGTATAATTTTAGTTGGGCAGAATTTGTTTCTTAGTAATTTACCAATACATGTGATGAAAATGCTGATGTTCCCAATGGATCTGTCTCACTTCTACTGCCACATAATATACAGTAACTGAACAAATTCACAAGGCACCAAAGCAGAAATGATGAAAAAACAGAAATATGATGTAATCGTATTTAAAAATTTAAATTCAAGATAATATTTCGAGTTATCTCTTTTTAGATAACATTTCTCTCTCTATTATGTCTCTGAAGCTGTAGAGAGGGAAATGCATATAAAGTATACCGAATGACACATATTAGTATAACAATATATCCATTAGTGACCTGCTTTACCTGTACTGATTATGGCATCAGAATCACAAACATGATTTCCGGGTTCAGTGTGTCACTTGAAATCTGATATAAGATTATTTTAAGAGGGTGAGAATAAGAGAGAGCGTTGTTTCTACATTGTTCTGATAAACTACTGAAGGCTAGCAAGCAGAGATCGTCTTACCAAGTCTGCTTTAACAATATACTAGCAGCTTCCCTGATTGAATAACTGAACCCTCACACCCCATTGCACTGTTATATGACATTCAATGTTGTCCTCTTTCAGAGGCACTGAAAACCATCATATTGACTTGGATGATTATTAGAACAATGATTTTAAATTTTGTTTCACACCTACAGTATACTGTGTATTCTATACAATATTGCTAACAAGCATTTCTAGCAGGCAGAGAGGAAAAAATGGGAAAAAGACAATAGTTTGGTGTGAGCACTACTTAATAATTAGAAGCTCCCCCAGCGATAGCATGGTCCTGCGTTTTTGTTTTGGTTCACAAGACCAAGACTTATGAATTCGCAGGTCCTACGTAAAGTCAATACAATGCAAAAGTAAGCACTACCACATGCAAATGCAAATCCTGTGTCCTTTGCAGTTCATTGAACTGGTGTTTCTTGTAGGCAAATTTGATTTCTGTTTAATGAGATGTCGACAAATATCTGGAATGATTTGCGTTGGTGTTTAAGGCTATGTCTACATTATTCCGGATAAAAAAGCATCTTCTTCTCGACCTTTTGGCCTTCAGTCCACACAGACACAGCGATTTTGTCCAGCAAAAATAGAGCTTTTCCAAAATGCTAGAATTTTTCTCTCCTCCATCGGTCAGGATTTGGACGTGTTCAAAAACGTCAAAAACAAAGAAAAGAACACAGTACCTACAGTCAAACATGGTGGAGGTTCAATGATGTTTTGGGGTTGTTTTGCTGCCTCTGGCACTGGGTGCATTGACTGTGTGCAAGGAATCATGAAATCTGGACACTATCAAAAGATTTTGGCCCATAATGTAGGGCCTAGTGTCAGAAAGCTGGGTCTGTGTCAGAGGTCATGGGTGTTTCAGCAGGACAATGACCCAAAACATACCTCAAAAAGCACCCAGAAATGGTTGGAGACAAAGCGCTGGAGAATTCAGAAGTGGCCATCAATGAGTCCGGATCTACATCCCATAGAAAAACTATGGAGAGATCTCAAAATTGCTGTTGTGAGAAGGCACCCTTCAAATCTGTGAGACCTGGAGAAGTTTTCAAGAGAAGAGTGGTCCAAAATTCCAGTTGAGAGGTGTAGGAAGCTTGTTGATGGTTATAGGAAGCGATTGGTTTCAGTTATTTTCTCCAAAGGGTGTGCAACCAAATATTAAGTTGAGGGTGCCAACAATTTTGTCTGACCTAATTTTTGAGTTTTGTGTAAAATGATGTCAAATTTGCCTTTTTTCTTCTGCTTTTTTGTGCGGTTCCAATGCAGTTAGAGGTAATAAACATGTGTATACCAAAACATTTGTCATTGCAACACTTTTCTGGGAGAAATGGTGCATTTTCTGGAAAAGTTCCAGGGGTGCCAATAATTTCGTCCATGACTGTACATGGGGTTAAGTTTCCTGCCAGAGTCGCTGTTTTAGGTCCTTCATGGAAGGCCATACCCTGTCCCCAGGTTGGTAGTTGGGGTGATCCCTC